TATAGGATATCTGAGGTTCTATTTTAACATGAATTTTCACCAAAAATCATGTTCCCAGATTTAGATGCAAAATTGATCTAGAGGTCAAACCATGAATAAAAATATAAACCATATGAAAATCGGTTGAGTTTTGACCGAGTTATGGGGTTGGGAAATTCCGACCCATGTCTATATAGGATATCTGAGGTTCTATTTTAACATGAATTTTGACCAAAAATCATGTTCCCAGATTTAGATGCAAAATTGATCTAGAGGTCAAACCATGAATAAAAATGCAAACCACATGAAAATCGGTTGAGTTTTGACCGAGTTATGGGGTTGGGAAAATTTGATCCATGCATATATAGGATATCTGAGGTTCTATTTTAACATGAATTTTCACCAAAAATCATGTTCCCAGATTTAGATGCAAAATTGATCTAGAGGTCAAACCATGAATAAAAATATAAACCATATGAAAATCGGTTGAGTTTTGACCGAGTTATGGGGTTGGGAAATTCCGACCCATGTCTATATAGGATATCTGAGGTTCTATTTTAACATGAATTTTCACCAAAAATCATGTTCCCAGATTTAAATGCAAAATTTATCTAGAGGTCAAACCATGAATAAAAATGCAAACCATATGAAAATCGGTTGAGTTTTGACCGACTTATGCGGTTGGGAAATTTTGACCCATGTCTATATAGGATATCTGAGGTTCTATTTTAACATGAATTTTCACCAAAAATCATGTTCCCAGATTTAGATGCAAAATTTATCTAGAGGTCAAACCATGAATAAAAATATAAACCATATGAAAATCGGTTGAGTTTTGACCGAGTTATGGGGTTGGGAAATTCCGACCCATGTCTATATAGGATATCTGAGGTTCTATTTTAACATGAATTTTGACCAAAAATCATGTTCCCAGATTTAGATGCAAAATTGATCTAGAGGTCAAACCATGAATAAAAATGCAAACCATATGAAAATCGGTTGAGTTTTGACCGAGTTATGGGGTTGGGAAAATTTGATCCATGCATATATAGGATATCTGAGGTTCCATTTTAACATGAATTTCGACCAAAAATCATGTTCCCAGATTTAGATGCAAAATTGATCTAGAGGTCAAACCATGAATAAAAATGCAAACCATATGAAAATCGGTTGAGTTTTGACCGAGTTATAGGGTTGGGAAATTCCGACCCATGTCTATATAGGATATCTGAGGTTCTATTTTAACATGAATTTTGACCAAAAATGATGTTCCCCCCCCCCCCCCCCCCCCCCCCCCCCCCTTTAATGCGTGTTTGCTTTGACCCACAAAAAGTAAAAGAGCTGGAGTAAGGTCGTGGGCGGGGGGGAGATAATAAAAGAAATCATAACATAACATAAAAACATTGCACAAATGTGTTTGTCATTAACCGTTTTATCTGTGACTCTAATAAAAATCGCTTATTTACACAGCGCACACACGCACACACGCACACATCAACGCACACACTCACACACACACACATGTTTACTCATTTATTTGGATACACATTATACATATTTATTTTCCCTTTTTGCGATAAAATTCGCCGTCGAGCGACGACATCGACAACAACAGCAACAACAACAACAACAGCAGCAAATGACGATTGACAAGCAACATGCAATAAATGTTTGTTTATATGAATGTGCCTGTATTGGTGTGCCGTTATGTGGGCTGCTGCGGGCCTTGCAGTGCGGTGCAGGGGCTGTGCGCGTTAAGCCAGCAAATGGTCAGCGTAAGTCGCCTTTGGCAAAGAAGCCGCACAAATTGATGACTCGTCAAAGCAATTGGCGATGCTGGCAGCGCTGTTGACGTCGACGTCCAAAGGAGTGTCAGAGAGTAACCAGTGCTAGAGAGAGAGTGAAAGAGAGAGAGAGAGCAAGAGCGCGAACACAACTGATAAGGAATACAAATGTCGATGGGGGGCGAACCAAAAGCAAAGGAAAACTAATAATGAACATTTAATTTCTTGACAACCTGTAAACGAAATGAAATGGGGCGAAATGAACAAAGTTATGCACATAAGATAAACTAAGAGAATGAAAAATAATGTCGTGTGCTGCATGTGTGTGAGTGAGTGGGAGAGCACGTTAAAGTTGGGCAAACATAAAATGCCAACTGTGCGTTGTGAGTGCAGAGCAACAGTCCAACAGTCCAACAGTCGCTTTGCGTAACAGTTGTACAAACAGCCAAAGATGCTGCGTTGACGTTGACGTAGACGTCGCTGCCTACGGCTTCTACCAGCAGCTAAGCAAACAGAGCAAAGTCAAAACCCAGAGACGGGGGTGGCACAGCTGCGTCGGCAGCGCGCCTCGCTGATTATTTTAACGCATTTACACCCTGAGAACAAACGCTAACTGCGACGCTGGCGTCGCACCAACACCAGCACCAGCATAAAAATTGCATACGAAAGGCGGCCGATAAGCAACGTGACGTAGGCGGCGGCGCGACGTCGCAATTTTCTGCGTGCAGCCCTCCCCCCAACCCCTATACCATCACACACACACACACACATACAGACGCACAAGCACACAGGCACATGGCCTCATCCCTTGGCTTGTATTTTCCATATGGGCGCATTTATACGCATTCGTTTTCAATTGAAAGTTCCGCTTGCCGCGCCCTCTCCCTCGTCTGCTGTCAGTCGGTCGTTTGTTTTGCTATTATCGTTGCTTTTGCTTTGCTGTTGCTAGTTCCCCCCCCCCCTCCCTTCCGCTCGGGCCTTCACTAGGCGATTTTCTTGCTGGCTTTGCGTATAGAATTTGTCATCCGCTGTAGTTCTTGTTGTTGTTGCTGTCTTTTTATCAACTGATATTTTTTTTTGCTCTTCTCTTATGTTTTTCGCTTCGGCTAACGCGCTCAAAACGCAAGCCTTATAAACTTGTTATTTACCATTGGAAATTGCTTTTGTTTGTCCCTTTTTTTATATTATTTGTATATCATTTGTATTTGCATTACTTTATCTTTATCAAATTTTCCTGATTTGCTTTGCAGTTTTCCAGTTTTTCCATTTTGCGTGCACCCCGAAGCTGTTATCACTGATAACAAGGGCCTTGTTGTTGTTGCTGCGATGACTTTTTACCGTTGACTAAAGAAGTATAACACATTAGAAGAGTTATATGTATTCCGTTTTTAGGGGGAATCCACAAAACTAAACGGAATCAATTTTATTTGTATTTTCGTGCAATTATTCAATTGCTTGGCTGTTGGCAACTCCCCGATTTTGGCTTAAAATACAGTGTTATTGTCTATTTATAGTAAACATCAATCACTTAAAACTCAGGTAAACAATCTGAAAGCTAATGTGTCGCTTTTGAGCTATGGGAATTTCTAATAGAAACAGGTTTACGACTGATCCGCTGAAATTCGCACGAATCGTGACGTGCTTGTTGGTTTTCTATTGAAAAAGGGTCTTGACATTTATAAAATAAATACAAAAAGTTGTTTAAAGAGTTCATACAAAAAAAAAAAAAAAACAAATAATACTGACAAAAAATACTAAAACAAAGCGATAGTTGACGAGGCTTCGATAGATATCGTAACGTAAGCTCTCACCTATATTACGTGGCATATGACAGTATAACAGTCAGTAGAAGCATATGACAGTATAACAGTTAGTAGAGGCAGGTGGCAAATCAACTGTCAAATGCTGCAATTCCATTCGACATTTGCCCACTGCCAACATTTGTTGGCCTATCTTTATGGCCAATTTGCAGTTTTGGCCACAATAATAAATTCCGTTTAATGATCGCGATGATTGAACCTAGCCAAAGGCGGAGACGTCGCCAGGTTTTTGTCGGCGACTGCAACTATTATTCGTGTCTATCGTCTACAGACAAGAGAAATAACGCATTATATATTATATGATTTATGTTTACGAGCTGTAAACATACAAAAAGTCAAACGGGCGGCCAAAAGAAAAATACAAACATTCACTTGAAAATTGGCAAAAAGAAAAAAAGAAAAAAAAACCATCATAGAAAACGGTCAAGTCCCGAAAAGACAGCAAAGCCAACGCCAGCAGCGACGCCGACGTTAAACGTAGCGCCAAGCCGCCAGCTGATGCGAAAACACTTACAGGGTAAATGAGCGCATGAGATGTTAACGTCAACAGCGACAGCGACGTCGGCGTTGGCGTCTCTGCTGCAGTTGCCAATTGCTGCTGGGCGGCCGAGTGTTCAAATTTGTTTCTCACGCGTTCGCCAAATGCCAAAAAACCACTTGTTTTGAGTTTTTTGGCGAGCACGAGTAGTTGGCTGCAGCGGCGCCGCTCGTTTGAAATCATGACAGAAATGACGCCAGCGCCAGCGGCGACGCCAGTGGCAATTAACGTCGTTTTACACGCGAACGGCAAACGAAATGTGCCAAAAGCGAACGGCTAAACAAAATTGATGAATGAAGTAATAATTGCCCCAATATGCTCGACTTCTGCTCCACTGTGCGAATTTGGGTGGTGGCGCTGCGGTTGAGTCAGACGACGACGACGGCGTCGTTGACGTCAACGCAGCTCCCTCACACTTTCACACTCTCTCACTCTCTTGCTTTTGTTGGCGCTCTCGGCTCTACGAAAAGGGCATAAAAACACCCCCGCCACAATTGCTTTTTTCCGGTAACAGAGTTTGTTGTTACAAGCGGGGGTTAGAGAGAGCGCCTCGCACAGTGAACAGCAACGCTGCCAGTATATGTAGTTCCGTTTGCGCCAGAGACATCGCCGCATACCGGCGCTTTTCTATTACATTTTTTTTTTATTCAGCCGCTCCGCTCTTACTGTCAGTGCTGCCAGACAGCCGCCCATTCATTTATATGAGGCGCACTCACTCGCACTTGGATGGCGCGCGCACACGCTCACTCTGTCACACTCTCGCGCTCTCTTTTGGTTGAGCACTGCGCATGGACCGCTCTCCACCGGTTTCTGGATTGTGTTTGTCGTCGCCTGTCTTTGCATTCAGTTTCATTTTAATTTTTGTCGTGGCCAGTTCGTTGTGCGCGTGGTTTAAAGCAAAGAAATTCAAACAAAATTGAAATCAGCTGGGCTGGACACTCACTGTTTGTTCGTTCGTTCTGTTTGTTCAAAGCTCGCAAAATTTTGCTACGTGTACGCGCCGACGACAACAGCAACAGCAGCAGCAGCAACAACAACAACACAACTAGAGCTAGCTAACTGTGTTTGTGCATACAGTTCTCGTCTCTATTCGTCTCTCTTTCTATATGTGCATGTGTATATGTGTGTATATTGCGTGTGCTTAACTTAAAGCTGACGTCGTCTCGTCATCATCCTCAACGTCAACAACAAAAACAACAACAGCTAAAACTACAATAAAGTCAACAGCAAGAGAGCAGCAACAATTATTGTATTAATCATTGCAAAAATTATAAATTATAACAGTAAGGTAGTGAAATATTATCGTATGTGCGGTTTTTTCATTGTTTCCTCTACATTGCCTTCGTCGGCGTTCGTCTCTGTCTGTCATTGTATATAAATGTATGTGTACGTATGTTAGTTTGTGAAACGGCATTAAGAAATATAAAAATAGCAATAGAAAGTTATTAAAGCGTTTTTGCAAAAATAAAAAAGGAAAAAAGCCGCCGCAGCAAAGGCAGTGAGCAAAAGCAAGCAAAAAATACATACATATTTTTTAAACACATCAAAAACCAAAAAAGAAACAACAACAACAAAATAAAGGAAAAGAAGCAAAGTCAAGAAAAATAGTTAAAGCTTACGTTGCCTGCCGCTCCGACAACGCAATCGCGCGCTCTCTCTCGCACTCTCTCTCTCTCTGCTTACGTCGCTGCCAGCGTCGCCGTCTACGTTCACGTCTCGGGGCGCACTTGAAAACGTCGCAAAAGTTTGTAAACAGCAGAAAGCTTTGTGCAGCTGTGTGCGTACGCTCTTGCGAATTTGCGCGCGTGTGTGTGTGCAATAGAAAAGTGAAGAAGCAGCGGCAAAAAGCAAACGCCATCAACGTCGTCGTTGCCGCCGCCGTCATCGTAATCGCCAGCGTCAGCGTCGTCGCTCTCCAGCCGCAGCAGCTGTCAAATACAAAACAAAGTAAATAAAAGCAATTGCCCAAAGGCCATCATTTTAAGTAGGCTCTCAATCTATTCTACTCTTTATTCTTTCCCCTTTCCCGAAAAAAAAATGGGAATAATTAATAACAGAATCTAACCCAACTATTTATGTGTATATTGTTCTTGTGTCCTCTGTGCGTGCGTGTGTCGCTCTCAATTGTCTGTGTTTGTATTTTTATTTTTATTTTATTGTATTTTGTTTCTTCGCTACGCTCTTGCGTCGTATTGCGCCCACACACAGAAATTTGCTGAAAAAAGCGGCCATAATAAAGTTCAATGTCTGCCGAAACAACAATAACAACAGCCTAGCAAAACATTTTTGCCGAATTTCGTTTTAATAAAATTTATTACCCTGCTTTTGTTGTTATTGTTGTTGCTTGTTTGTGTGAAAAATTAAATGAGCCACAGCCGTCAGCTTTTGTCTATGTGCGTGCATGTGTGTGAGTGCAGAATTTTCATAGCGGCTTTTATTAAACTCTTGTGCGATTAAAGTTGAACAGCTTTTAGTTGTTTCTTTCTGCTCAAATGCCAAGCGTCAAGAATAAGACGAGACATGGCGAGCGATAGAGAGATGGAGAGAGTTGCAAACAGTGAGAGCCACACACACACTCTCACTCGCATGCACACCGCACACACATACACGTTTACGCTCGCAATTTAACAGCAAATTTTATAGCGGTTGTTTTTAGCTTTAAAATTGGAGCTGAGTGTTGGTAAATCAGCTGATTTTTTGCCAATTGTGCTTGTGTGTGTGTGTGAACTGGGCAAACCCTCTAACAGTTCTTGATTTCTTTTTATTATCTTTTCAAAGTGTATTTAAACATAAGCAAACTTTTTGATTATCACGTATGCCAACTACTGTTAACTAAAGTAAATCAAATTAGTTTTTGTTTTTTTTTTTATTTTCTATATATTATAGTTATTTATTTAATTCTTATGTATTGTGTTGAATGGTGCGCTATTCTTCTTCTTCTTCAACTACAACTCTGTCTCTGTCTCTCTCATTTGTCTGATATGTCTGTACGATTTGCATTTGTTTCTAGGCATACCAGTGGGTTAATCAGCTCAGCACTTTGGAGGTTAGTACTATTACAATACACACACAAATAGAACAACAGTAGGCTTTTCTTTATTTGCAGTTTTAATCAATGTATAATGTATTTATTTATATTTATTTTCTTAAGAACAAATTTGTCGCTTTTATTTTTTAATGGTTTTTGTTATGTTTTCTTTTTCGCGAATTCTGTTTCCGTTTTTGGCTTTATCACGAGCTGGTTAGTCAGCCTCATGTTATGGCTTGTGCCTTGCACGAAAGAGTGCAGCAACCGAACCCGCTGCCCCCCCTCCCCGACGAGCCGCGTGACAGCCGGCGACTGATTAGCTGCACCCTCCTCCCATTTTTTTTGCTGAAGTCCAAGGTTAAACCCTTTTGTGAGGGCAATGTACATATTTGACGCGAATTTTCGGTGTCACGTACTTCTCCCTCTCCCGCTGCCGTTTCTCTTCTTTTCCTCCTCTTCTCTGCTGCTTCTCTTATTTTTTTTTTAAGCACTTTTGTATACTTTGTCTGTTCTGTTCGCAACCCTCGCTAAAATGACTATGCAGTTGGTTTTGGAGTTATGGCTCGAGGGGTTGGGGTATGGGCCACATTCAACGAAACTTTCTCCTCTACAAACACACACACACACACACACACACACACACACACACGAAAAGTTGCAGTCATTGCACCCTCCTCGACTTTGTAGTTGTTGCTGCGACTCTCTCAATTGCCCTGCCTCTCCCTCCCCTCCTTCTTGCTCTGCCGCCTTGTATCTCTCTCGCTCTCTCTCTCTCCCCCTCTCGCTCTCTCTCTTTCTCTCTCTCTCTCTCTGATGCACTTGTCTCACCTAACAGACATCGTTAACCTGCCTGGGCAAATACCAGCAACAACAACAACAACCCCCTAAGGGCGACCGCCTTTGTTTTATTTCGGTAACAAAGTAAAAGTTGTAAAAATATAAAACTTGCAAAACAATCGTGATGAAAAGAGAGAGAAGATAACCAAAAAAAAAAAAAAGCTGCTGACGTCCATGGCGGCTTCTGCTGCTTCTTCTTCTTCTTCTTCGTCTTGGCTCATCTTTGGCTTTCAGGTTTTATGTCCTGGCCGGCGCTTTTATGGTTTGTTCGCAATTTTTGATTTACATATTCCCTCTTTTATTTGTTTTCATTTTTTTTTGACAGCCACTTCCTCTTTGCCCCTCTCGCCGCTTGCACTTATCGCGCGGCGTCGTCAACTTCCGGGACTTGCCAGGATATGAGCACAACACAGCAATTTGTTAGCAAAGTTGCTCCGCACCCCCCTCCCCCCCTCCACCCCCTGGGGGTTGCTGTTGGCGTCAACGATTTGTGTTGTTGTTTTTTTGTGTTTTGTTATTTTGAACGTGCTTCAAAATGCAAATCCAACACAAAAACAACGCAGCAAAACGCAGCCATAACAAAAATAATGCTGCAAAATGTTCAAATCACACACGACGCACATAAATGAGAAAACAAATTTAAAAAATATATATTTTTTAAAGAAAACCAAACAAATATTAACAAAGGAAAGCCATAATGTCTGTCTTTTTGTATGTTCATACAAACAATTTTCATTAGTTTTATTGAAAACGTTGTCAAAGCTGTTTTCATTCAAGAAATGACCTCGGGCCAGACATTCTTCACTCCAGTCAACATTTGTGCATAGTTTATAAGCTACCCCAACTTGGTAACTCAATATTTTAGACTAATTGAAAAGGTACATTAGCTAAAATATCAAATTTACGTCAACAATTGATGATGATAAAAACAGAAATGGAGCTCTGAAAGTGTTTGCTCAGGCCCGAAAAAGTTACTGCTTTTATATAAAGTAATACTAGATGAATAATTCTTGAGATTGGAATTAAGATCCAGTAGATGCTAGAAAACTTATTATTTTTTACACTTTTTTATATAGAATCTTAGAACACACCTTAAATTGTTGACAATTGAATCACACTTAAAATATAAAGAATTACGTGAATGAAACTTAATGAGATTTTGAGAAATTCTAGTTAATTAGAACAAACTCAAAAACTTCAACGTTCTAGTCTTAGACAGATAGTTTCTTTGTTCTATTTTCTATATATATATATATATATATATATTTATACTATATACATAGTCGTAAAGATTTCGCAATGGCAGTTGCACTTGGCATTCTCTAAACACAAAACCAGAGGCCTTTTAAATAACTGTGAATTCCCAGAATTCAAACAACATTAACACACACACACACACCCATACTAATGGCAACTCTTATCAGCACACAAATTGTAGCTCCCGTCACGTTCATTTAACAACAACAGCAAGAACAACAACAACAACAACAAAAACAGGCCCGGGCAGATACTAAGTATACGATAAAATATTTCCACAGGTTCCATAAACAAAACCCAACGCGTTGACTGTGTTTCTAGAGCGTTTTCTTATCAGTTTTGAGCAAAAACAAGAACAAGAGAAATTATGTCAACTGTTTTATATTTTTTGTTTTCGCTTAGTTTTTCTATAACTTTTTATAACTCTCGGCATTCGTCATCCGCTGAATTGAAACTGAATCGAGTCGACGCTGACGCCGACGCCGACTGCCAGGCACCGGCATCTCGGTTATACGATCTTTGATCGAGCGATCAAGTGATCAAGCGAAGCGTCATAGAATCGAGTTTTAATTTCGCTTTCCGTTGAAGTAGTTCAGCTCGGTGCGGGTTGGCTTTTGATGATGATTCAACAGTGTGGCATTGCAATGTGACTTATCGATAATCGATTATCGATTATTAGTCACTAAAGACAAGAAGAAGATAGATAGACAGCTCTCATTTAGCTACAATTAGAAGTTGTCATTTTGATGATGTCAGCAATTTTGGGGAATTTTCGCGACACAATTGTGTGAGCTTGTTTCGCTGGAAGAGCTCAGATCGGAGGGAATTCGCAATTGCAAAGAAATATGGACTTTAAAATAAAAAGTGGGGCTGACGATTAACGTCGGAAAGATTAAGCTTAAATAATAGAAATACTAGTCTTGATTTTCTTTTTTAATTAGTTTTCGCTTGGATTTTTCTTTTTTAATTTATTAAAGTAGTCTGTGATTTACAATGAATTCTAGCTCTTAACTTCGTCTCACTTATTTATTTTATAAAGAACCTCACAAATCTTACATATAAATCTGCGAACTTAGCAGCTAGCTGCTAATGCCAAGCTTTTGGTACATTTTCACCCATTTTCCACTCATGTGAATTCACATTCACCTATAAACAAAATTGTTTAAACAGCGAAATAGTTTTATGTGTACAGACTTAACAATATTTGCCTAGTTTTTAAGTTACTTTAACCAGATTCCTTTCCAAGCTGCTCTCATGTGGAATTGTAGGGTATTGCCACTTCGGTGTGGTTGGAAACTTTCAACCTTTGCTTCATTATGATTCACTCTGTGCTGTCTGCGTCTACTTTTTGCCAGCGTTTGCAGGTGGTTTTTATGGCACCTATTTCTATTTTAGTGCACTTAGCGCTGACCGGCACCTGCCCCTCCCTACGCCGAAATGCCGCCCGCTCTGACGCAGATCTAATAAAATTAAAACGCAAGAAGATTGTGAAACTTTGTGTTTGGAGATGCATAAAAAAAAGCGTAAGGTCACTTTTGTTGTGTGTGTTTGAGTGAGTGAGATTGTCTGTGTGTGTTTGCGTTTTCATTTAATTTCATTTGCTTTATTTTCGAATGAGTCATTTTCAATTACACACAAACACACACACACACACACTCGCACGCTCGAGCATATTTAGCTTAGATTACACTTGCGGCTTCAATAGTTGTTGCAGTCGCTGCTGCAGTGTAATTAACGTACGCGTTTTGTTTGCCCACCCCTCCCCTTCCAGCCTGCTCCTCTGTTCGTTCTGGTGTTTCCCTTCGCTCTGGGGACGCATTTGTTG